TAACAAACTCCAAATTGAGTGTGTTCTTGTTTTGTTTGATGGAATTCCCCTTTTCTATGTCTGCAGCGCTAGTGTTTTTTGCTGGCTTTTCTTTGGATAGTGCTCACGAACAGACAGAGAAGATGGAGACAGGTTGGGGTTGATCTTGTCTTTCTAGGGTAGAACTAGAGGTGGAACCTCAATTATGTGCATCTTTGTGTTATTAGGGCCGATGATGAGTTGAATCCGGTTTGCATTTGCCTGGGCTTAACCAACTTGTTGGGTTGTTGATGCTAGTTTTGGTCTAGATGTCCTCCATTCCCGCGAGGAAGGTTTTGTTGGCATTGTTGAGTAATCAATTGCAACCGCTTTACCTTTAATGTTGGATGAGTTTCCATTTCTTCTTTCAATCAAATCTTCTTTCCCTACATTTTCTACCAGTCTCTGCTCAACCTTGCCTTTACTTTCCTTATTGAACGTTGGAATTGCCATCAACTGCTTTATCATTGGATTCGCCTACAATTGAGGATTTCGATGGGGATTTTCCGTAATTCTTGATCATTGATATTTAATTGCTATGAAATGAGGCGTGATTTGTGGAGGATTTCCTGTTAAGTTTTCTTTATTGCATCGTCACCTGCATCCATGAGCCAAAGTCGACGAGTGTTCTGGCGGGGAGGGGGTCGCAAGTGAGTCTTGGGATGGATCGGACATTGAATTGGTCACCTTTTGTTGATTTTGCAGCATCTTCTTTGGGCATGGGTTCTCGTTATGGCCGATGCGATCGCATTCAAAGCAGATTTGTGGGAGGTTTTTGTAGAGTACCGATTGCCACAAGCTGTCAAAGCGGATTCGGGTCGCCAGTGGCTTGGACATGTTGAGCTCGACAATAATACGAGCAAACTTACCTCTCTCCGCGTTTTCTGTATGGTAGTCCAGCTTGACCATTCGACTAACAAGGTTGCCGAGGGCAAAAAGCACTTCCCTATGATAAAAGTGTGCGGGGAGCTCAAAGAGTTGGATCCAAGCCACCACAGACTTGAACGGCTTGTCGGAAATGCGAAACTCAGGGGACCACGGGTGAAACGATTAGGTAATTATCTAAAATGACCCAAGGACCCCCGGTGAGGGCTCGTAAGTAGTCTTGATCATTGCTAAAGTTGACAAGGAAAGTATCATTGGTTATCCATGATATCTAGAGTCCTTGTCGGTCACCATATCCGTTGAAGCTGGGAGCATAGGTAAGAGTATACAACCAATCGTCCGAGGAGACCGACCACAAGTGTCTTCTTCCAAGGGAGACAGAAATGTTCTTTGAAATGCTCCAAGATTTTTAGCTCCGGCTCCCCATTATAGGATCCAGGAATCATATCTTTTTCACCCACAAAAGTCCACAATTTTTCCTTGCTGGGTGTTTCCGGCGTTGCACCTACGATAGTTATTTTGTAAATCATGGGGGAAGACGCAGTAGAAGTTGGGTCGATGCATACTAAGGGAGTGGGTTCCGGCGGCCGGCCTTATGAGAAAGGTAATGTCGTCGAAGGGAGCAAAGGAAAGGTTTTTGCAGTGAGCATTTTTTTCTCTTATCAATTATGAGATATTGTTAATAAATGATTTAGTAAATATCCTAAAATTTTATAAAACGTTAACGATGATGATTGTATTTTGTTAATGATACTTTGCATAAATGTTCATAACGACATGTTACATTGTTAATATTTGTAAAAATAATATTTAATGATTGAATTATTTTACATTGTTAATTATTGGTCATTATTAATGTTATATGATTTACGTTGAAAAATGATGACATCCCATTAATAATAATTTTGCAAACAATCAACAAATGATTTGGAAAGAGGTGATAATGTTTTTTGTATCTCATTAATAATACATCGAAATGTTTAATGATTCATGGCATAAACGTTGATAAATGTGAGATATTGTTAAAAAATAATTTCATAAATATCCCAAAAATTTATAATAGACGTTAATAACGGTGACTGTATTTTTGTTAATGATAATTTGCATAAACGTTCTTCACATCAAGTTACATTGTTAATAGTTGTCAAAAAATATTTAATGATTGAATTATTGGTCATTGTTAATGCTATCAAAGCGAAACTCGATCCTTGTTTAAGGTTTTGAGCTTCCGCACTTAGTACATATTGCATCGAAGTCAATAGTCCATCATCTCCGGCGAGTTACCCGTCCATCTCAGTCAAGGCCATATCTCAACTCACCTCTATTGTTGTCGTAGTCTTTAACGCCATCGCCCCGACCTTATATGCACTGTCGTAGTTCGAGGGCGAAGTCCTTCGTGCCGTCGAGCCACAGACTCTGTTGTTTGATCTCTCGGGCCACACTCGCCTAAGAGACCAATGACGTTGAATCTCAATCCAGGGAAGAGGCCGCCGCCGCATCTCTACCTACGTCATCACCTTCGATTGCTACTGCTCCTCTTCTCCTTCGCCAGTCACTAATCATCGCTCCAATTGATGTTGTCGCTAATCAACGCCGCCGACCGTAGCTCTAGTCGTCGCGGGTCAAGACAAAACTCAAAAGAGAAGGAGAAATGAATTTGAAGCAAAGGCAAGAGGAGAAGTGGCATATGTCAATATGAAAAGGGGTATGCAAATCCTATGGTGCCCTTAGTCTTTACAATTACAAACAATTTCCTAAATAGCCTTATTAACTACTTAACCAATAACTCCCTCCTAACTACCTAAAATCCCAGCAACCAATAGGATTGCTTTAATATTTTTCTTAAGGAATGAGACTTAAGGACCTGAACTCGGGCAGACAAAGATTCTTCATTCCATGCTTATGAGATTTACAGTTGAATATTTAAGAATTACTCCAAATGCTTTAGGGCTTACTCAACCCAAGAAGAATTCAAATTTGTCCTTGCAGCATTATGCTATATCAAGTAAAAATGCCTTGCCAGTTGTGAAAAACATGTCATTGCATGCAAGAGTATGTCCTTGCAACATCAGTTGTTTGTTGTTGCACCATTATGCTATATTTACAATTTATGTTGACTTTCCTGAGAAATATTGACTAGGAAATATAGACTCTAATTCAAATTGTACTATAGGAATAAGCGAATTGAAATAACTAATAAACTTTTTTTTACCTTCCATTGTCCCAATTTTTCTACCTTCTCTTTTTTGCTTTTTATATGCTTGCCGCCATAATACCTTTCAATTTCCTTTATCTTCTCAATTCTGCCTCTTGTTCTAGTATTCTTTATTTATGATTTTGCTTTCTTTGTCATAGTTCAATCCAAAACAGGGGACATGTTAATTTGCTAGGACACATGTACTACCATGTTTGAAAAATGTAAGTGGGGTGAAATGTGCATTTCAATGAATTTATGACAATGAAATGGTACCGACAGGTCTTATGTATCAAATTTTGTCATTGTCAGCGTTCATATCCCTAGGTATATGTTATCTTACATCTCTCGCTCGTTCCTATTAAGAATCTCCTCAATCGTACATCGCCAAACCTTTCCACCCTTTTTTGTGCCTCAGGCTCCTTGAGATGTCATACCTAAGATTTCCTTCGCCCACCAAACTATAATTTCCAACGATTTCTATGCCCAACTCAAAGGATGCATCCTAGTCTACTAGTTCACTCCACTCCACCATAGTGGTCTTCCTTTTCCTATTCCTCTCCTTATCCTCTTCCCTCCCCATCTCTCTTGACCTCTTCTTCGTCATTACCTCCACTACTTCGTATCCTATGCCACCTCCTCCTCCATTCATACATATGATTTCCCTGCCAAGTGATTTCTTCTCCCAGAAAGTCGGGGAAATCAGAGATGGTGTGGGAAGGTTGAAGAAGATGCTTTACCCACCACAAGTCGTCTCTGCCATAGGTGGGGGAGTATGGATGGAAAAGTCTGTAAACCTGCGTGAAACCGCAAGTCGGACTAGTGATCGCTCGAGAGAACTTCGAAACTAGACCCATAAGCATCAAAACATTTTAGTTCGCAAACTCGAGATAAATATGCAACAAACTGAAATTGCGATATCTCAAGAGGATGGTGAGATATCACGAGATATGTTGACTTTATACGTTATATTGACTTACACGAAATGACACAAAAAAATGTCAAAATATTTCGGGTTCTAAAAAATAAAATAGAAACACGATAACTTGTCAAGAAAGTGAATTTGTCTATATATCACTAGATTACGAGATACACTATATTTATGCGATATGTTGACTTTTTTGCGATATATTGGTGGAGTAGAAAATGAGTGTCGAATTCGAGTTGATTTCTATAATAAGAGAAATGAAAATAGACCTGTTTTACTTTATGAGAAAAATTTCTTTCCCATTCTCTTAATTATCTCTTTCCTCTTCTCTCCCCCAATTTTCCTACTTTTTCTTATCTCTCGCTGCAACGAGTATGGTTATAAGTCTGACCATAATTACCCTCTGATCGGCATCGGTCCGACCAAACCTTTTAATCAATTCAAGGCCAAATAAGGTCGAGTCAAATTTTGGCCTAAAAGAATATGATAATTTTGGGTTTTATCTTCAAAATTAAGGTTATCAAACCGATTTATACCATTATGCAAGTTTATCAAGTGGTATGGTCCAACCGGGATACAACTGACATATGTCAAGTTTTGATGGTTTTAAAAAAACATGTAAGAAAAGTAAGAAATTAGCAACACCACACACAAATATATATAACATATTTCAAAACAATCTGTATACTAATCTACATTCATATTTAAATAAAATATAACATATACACTTGAATTTAATAAAACGAAATCTTTTATTTAGTGATGGGAAATCTGTCATACTGGTTAAACCAGTGATTTTTCCGGTAATGACTGGTTTTCATTGATATTTGACTACCACCTCATAACAAAGGTGTTCCAGTCGGTTTGTGTCAAATACCGGTTGAACCCGTTGTACTGGCCGGCATACCACCGGTTTAACAAGTATGCTGAAATGAAAACCAATTCTGATCTGACCCATCCGAATTACCCAAGGGTCAAAAAATAGACCAGCATTTCCCTTCGTCTCTCCTCACGAGTCGCGACTGGGAAGCGGCAAGCCCATGCAATTTTCCCGTCGTCTCCAATCCGCCTCCGTCGTGCCGGCGATTTTCATCACCTCCTCGATAGTTAAAACTTAAAACCCAAACAACACCAACCCTTTGACTGCCCGCCGTCCGGCGAGGATTCCCCTGCCTCCTCCTTGTACTCTCGGTCCTCTGTGGCGAACCCTAGCTTTAGACCTGAGGGATTTATTGCGGAGGCAAAGGAAAATCAACGAGGGAGTTTGGTCCGTCATCGGCTGTCGACCTCTGATCTCGTCGTCGTCTTGAGTTCGGACCTTGCACATCATCTTCGTGGACTCTTCCACTAGCTCGGACCTCCGATCCCTCATCGCTAATTGCATCTCCTCCTATTTCCTTCTTGGACTGACTCTCTGCCCCGTCGGGAACTTCTCAAACAGCTGGGTAATGGGCATGGCTTGAATGGTATAATCTAGCTCTAGAATATTTTTCCTTTCCCTCCGAGTTTCACTGCCTTCTAGCCATGCCGTCTTCGTCTGTGAAATGGTGGTTTCGTTTTTACCTTGAATTGCAATCTTAAAATGATGGTTTCGTTAGAACTTTTTGGCTCTCTCTATTATCTATTCGAGTAGCTAATCGAAAAGCTGGAGATCCTAATCTGCCCATCCTTCAATTCACTACTGTTTCTTCAGCGCTTCTTCCTCTGCAACACTTTTGCTTGGATACCAATATGGGCATTATTAACTTGCTGCTCACTGGGTGTTGTTTGTGTATGTATGAAGCAGATAACAAGCCATTGCTACTGTGAGTTTCCCACTGAGAGAACAAAAGTCAAAAGTTGCCTTGGAGCTTTGTCTGTCCTCCACTCCATTCAACTCTCGTCCTGGACTCTGGAGCGGACTGGAATTTGAAGAAAACAATAAGGTAATAGATCTGCTTAACATGAAGAGATTCGCGTTAGTGCTGTAGTTCAATTGTCTGTCAATGGCGTCTGTTGATTCAGCGGTAGTTTGTCTTCAAGTCCCAAAGCCGGTGGATAGGGTTGGTTGTTTCGGTGGTGTTGCTCTACTGCTCTAGACTTAATTCTTGATACAGGAAGTGCGGCAGAGAAAATTTTCTTGGACTGATCCAAAAGACTTGGCGTTATGGAATGGATTGTGCTTTAAATTGGGTTTTTACGGTGGGGAAACTTAATTGTTAGTGGAGAACTCAATTTCTTGTTTTTCCTTCTGGTATGTCCACTTTCTAAGTCTAGAGAGAAATTTGTTTTCCAAGATTGTGTGGTTTCAAAGCCCATATTTTCGAGCCTTCTCAAGTTTCCCAAAACAATTATCAGTCATGTTGTTTACAATAGTAGTCACAACATGATGTCAATAGAAGCATCCATACGACAGTTATTTGTTTTTTCGCTTTAATTTATTCTACACATCCGTATATAAGAATTGATATGTTGTGTACATAACTTCTGCCGGCAGGGCCTCTCAGTTTCAGATTGAACCCTATATCCATCATTCATACCGAATACCGATAATTAGAAATCAACACAAAAGATCTAATCTATGCCTCATCTGACAATTGAATCTGATGTTTTTCCTTCATCGAAAGATGATTACCAGATTATTTGACTACCATGACTAGTGATTGGGGTTGGATTGTTAGAATCTAGATATTTGTCAGTTTGCTTTTTGTACTAGTCTAAAATGAATCCATCTATTATATTAAAAACCCATTTGCGAAATATTCATGGACAAATCAGCTGCTCATGGTAAGGCAAACATGAGTTCTGAAGTTCCATGCTTTACTGGAAATATTCATAAAGTCATTCCGAGTTCCATATGTGCAATGCAGCAATCTCCTTCTCCAGAGAAAGTTTGATATGAAAGCAATAAAAAATTTGTGTATAAGATTTACTTAGCTGCTAACTGAAGAAGAACTAATCTATGCATCATCTGACTTGCATTATGTGTTCTGAAAGCTGTGTCTATTTTCTGGAGAATCAAGCTTTGACATGTTTTCCTTTCTCTTCTCGATTCTGCCTCTTATTCTATGTTTTTTTCTTTATTTATGATTTTGCTTTTTCTGCCACAGGTCAGTCCAAAATAGGAATCCAAATTGGAAGGGTTTCTGCTATTCCCAGCATTCTCTGTAGATGACAGTGATGATATGTTCATTTGCTAGGGCACAAGTGCTGTCCTTTTTGAAGAAAGGTAAGTAGGATGAAGCGTGATTTTGATGAAATCTCTGACGACGAATGGGTCAACCACTCCTTCAAACCCTCTCGTGTCCTGAAATCAACTCCATCCTCTAAATCTCCATCTGATCTTCCAAGCTCCCCTCCGCCAATAGAGTCTTTTGCTTTCGGCACCAAAACCCAGCAGCTGCTTGCGTCCGGTAGTCCAAGCAGCAGCAGTGATGATTGTGTCATCATTACCCAGCCCAAGCCCTCAATCCATGCAGACTTGGAGGATGATGACGTTGAACAAAACAATGACCGCCCGGTTTCCTTGGGTAATCGTGCTCGTCGGTTTATCATTGACGACGATGACGACGAGCAGCCTGCGGCGCAGATGCTTCGAGAAGGTAATCGGGAACTTACTGAGGTTTATGATGTCAAGTCCTGTAGTGACGATGACTTAGAACTGGAACTGGAAGACGAGGAGGAGTTAGAACTGGAACTGGAAGATGACGACGTCATTGGAAAAGCTCTGCAGAAGTGTGCCAAAATTGCAGCTGAGCTTAGGAAAGACCTATATGGATCTACAGCAGTATGCTGTGATCGGTATGCAGAGGTTGATTCTTCTACCGTCAGGATTGTGACGCAGGTACTTCAATTAGTATTCTATCAGAAAGTTACTCAGAGTTGGTTTGGCCTGGATCTGCTATTTTTTCATGTCCTCAAATATTCGTGCGAGGTTCTAGTTATTCTACATGGTCCTGTTCTGCAATAAGACAACTCAATCTTCTTAGCTTGGTGCTGTTATCTTGCTTGAGTGGACATTGGACGTTGTCCACTATCTTAATTTCCATTCCTTGATCGTTATTGTATGAGAAGCTTAGAATTCTTACAGTGAGGAAGTTGAGACTGGGCAGGTGTAGTTTTGGAGTTTCGAAGGATGTTATTTGGTTGTCTAAGAATCAAGTCAAAAGACTAGATCATTCACTATATTCAAATTTGCTAATTTCTGAAGAAAATATCAATATTTTTACAGAAATTACACGCCACTAAGCCTAGTGATGTACTATTAGAACTTATATCTGATCTGTTCATCCATGCACTTTGTAAATTTATCAGTAAGAGGCCACCCCTTCTTAGTTCAAGATTTTTATGCTGTTTTTATTTCGTTGTGACAGGATGACGTTGATGCAGCTTGTATGGTTGAGGTTCCAGATTTCCAGCCTGTTCTCAAGCCATATCAACTGGTTGGTGTGAACTTTCTTCTTCTTTTATACAGAAGAAATATTGGTGGAGGTATTCAACAATCAACACTCATGATTGATGTGTTCATCCAATGCGGTTTTCGATTAAAATTTTCTTTTCAATTCCATATTTGTTGTGACCAGACTCCAATAAAATGAAAATTTTGTGATTTAAACAGAGTTATTTCATTTCATTAGGGTGATAAATCAAGTGGGCATATATTTACCCCACCTCTGATTTGACCAGGGGGTTTATGGCTGTGCGATATAATTCCACAAATATTGGTACAATGTTTCGTCAAGACTACTTTATTATGTTTGGCTGAGGTAGGCAATTAGACTTAATCTTTACTAGGAGAGGCAGCATAGACTTGGTTTTTGGATGAAATTATTCCAGCCGTAAGTAGCATTATGAATGGGTAGAAGGTTGTGAGGTTAGGAGTTGCTCTGTTAGTGACTTCGATATTGTCATCAATATTCCAAGTTACTCCGCCATGGGTTACATTAAATAGTTTCTTGAAGCATCTTGATGGCTTCCGAAACATTGTCATTCTTTGTGGTCTGTACAAACTTGAATTCTTGATACTTTGTTTACCGTAAATGTTGCATTTTGGTTTAGTTGTTGTCATCTTTATGACATGCTTTAGAATAATAATACCACCGAGTAAGGAGTTGCAGATGGCTGTTCTTGACCATGGATCACATCTTGCTGAATCCTCCCGAAAGAAGATTGCTCTCTTTAGTTTTGGACCGTGAATGTTTTAGTACCTTGTTTGGGAGTCCCAAAGAACTTCTTTTGTGGGCCAGTTTTTCTTTATAGACGCTGGACAAATGATGTACATTTTACCCCTCATGCACTTATTTAAATTTTCTATATTGCATTACCTTTGATCTTCCATGTTTTTGTAAGATGTCAGCAATATATTGATTCTGAGTCGTGTTTGTCTTGGTTCCAATTCCATTGGGACATAGTATTTAGCTTTCTGGTCAAGTAATTTAATTCGTCAGATGCCAGTTTTGGAAGGTGTTATTAGGTTCCGAAGTTTTACTCCTCAATTGCAATTTAAGTATGTCTTTGTCTCATCCACCACAACGTATCAATAAAGAAAGAAGAAGCCTAGTGTTTCATTTCATGATGATCATTGCATGTTTGTTGTTATACTCAGTTTTCTCTTTAATTTGTTTTAATATAGAAAATTGTATGCCATCAGTTGGCTTTCACTTATCATGAGTTATGCAATTCTCCCTATTTGTAAGTGTGTTTATGGAGTTAAATTGTTGCGTGCTCTCTGTTTCGTCTTTGGTTTGCAATCTGTATCCATCATTTTGTTCGTTCTGCTTTTAGTGCTCTTTCAGTTTTCCATAAACATCAAAGTTGTCCTGTGTGGTGATGCAATGTGTAAATCTGGAAAATAAATTACCATTCACCAATTTTGTTATGTGCAGCAATATTGGCAGATGAGATGGGTCTTGGGAAGACTATACAGGTATTTGTTGTCTATCTTGTGCTTTCTGTTGATACGACACTAGATAATCTATTCTTATTAAGTTGTGCATCTTATTTTTTTCCCCCTACAGGCAATAACATATTTAATGCTGCTAAAACATTTGAATGATGATCCTGGTCCACATTTAATTGTGTGCCCTGCTTCTGTTTTGGAAAACTGGGAAAGAGAACTTAAAAGGTGGTGTCCATCATTCTCTGTACTCCAGTACCATGGGACTGCAAGATCAGCCTACTCGAAAGAATTAAGCTCTCATGCCAAACATGGTCTGCCACCACCATTTAATGTGATTCTTGCGTGCTACTCTCTTTTTGAGCGACACAGGTTTGTTTGATTCCAAAGGTCATTGTTTATGTAGGGTTTCACCTATCTCATTTGTTTTATGTATCATGATACAGTGTGCAACAGAAGGATGACCGTAAACTTCTGAAACGTTGGCGATGGAGTTGTGTTCTTATGGATGAGGCTCATGCTCTTAAGGATAAGAACAGCTATAGGTGGAAGAATCTGATGAGTGTTGCGAGAAATGCAAACCAACGATTGTTGCTAACAGGGACACCTCTGCAAAATGATCTGCATGTAAAGTGACGTCATCCTTTTCTTTTCATGCCTCCATTATGCAGAATTTGAAACAAGATTCAAGAATTTTGTTAGTTTCATCATTGTCTTTGAAGTAATCTAGAGTTGAAATTGCAATTCCTTGGAGTTCTTATCAGGATTATTTCTGTTATGTTTAGATTAGTGATTCTAGTCCAACCCCGAAAGATAAGACGTTCTAGTTTAGCTAGGTATTATTTGATCTATAAGTGAAGGGGTTACTAGACCGAAAGGACGAGTTCTCCGGCTCCAGTGGAATAAACAGCAATAGGCTGGTGCCTTTTTCGGGATTTATGAGCCTAGGTTGTGGCACCTACCGATCATATTACCAATCTGGTTAAATGGTTCTTCCCCTTTCAATCCCTGAAGGCCTAATTCTATCTCAAACTTCTGGCACCCCTAAACCATGAGTTTCTTATGTTTGCAACTAATGACCAACCAGTTCAAAGCTATGAACCATAGGTTCTTGACTCGAACAAATTGTACTTCATATGCCACATGAGACTCTGTAGGAGCTTGCTGTACAACTTTGGTTTTCAGAAGATGACATCTGATGTTATGCTTCTTTATGAAAATTGTTTTTTTTGTTTGCACTGACAAGGTGTGATTGCATGATTTATGATGCATGAGGTTTGTCCTTCTCTTGCCTATGTCATGCAATGGCCCGAGTCTGATGCTTTCTAGGAAATTGACGTGCTATTCTTCTGTGAAAAATTGACTTCATACTTAACCATGATTATGAAGGACATTTCTTGCTTTGTTGTCTTTATGATGAATTACATGACCATATAGGTCACTTCATTAATCAGATGTGATTAGGCTTAACTTTGTGTCTTTGTGATCTTCCTGTTCGCTTCCTGGCTGGTATTTGCAGGAGCTTTGGTCCTTATTGGAGTTTATGTTACCTGATCTGTTTGCTACTGGGGATGTTGACTTAAAGAGGCTGTTGAATACAGAAGATGGAGATTTAATTGGTCGTATGAAGTCAATCATGGGGCCATTCATCTTGAGGAGGTTAAAGTCGGATGTAATGAAGCAACTTGTTCCAAAGATACAGCAGGTAACTTTAAATGCTTTTTGAATTTTGGAGTCATTATTTTCCCATTTCCCAACCACCTGCCCCCTCTTGTTATTGTGGTCTTGAAGAGCTGAACAATGTTTTCTCAGGTGAAATATGTTTCAATGGGAAAACAACAGGAAGATGCTTACAAAGAAGCAATAGAGGAATACCGTAAATTCTCACATTCTCATATTGCCAAATGCTCAGATGTTAACTTGACAACTGTCGTTGGGGTTCTTCCTCGACGGCAGATATCAAATTATTTTGTTCAGTTCAGAAAGGTGTTGTAAGCTTTTCCCTATTGGTTGGTTTAATTAATTCTCAATTCTTTTTCATTTTATGATTTCATTTTTGTAAAAAATAATAATGTTGCTATATGCAGATTGCAAATCATCCATTGTTGGTGAGAAGAATTTACACTGATGAGGATGTTGTTCGGTTCGCAAAGAAGTTGCATCCAAGGGGCGCCTTTGGCTTTGAGTGTACCTTGGATAGAGTCGTCGAGGAACTTAAGAGCTACAATGATTATTCTATTCATCAGGTAACCTGAAATTGCTATTGGATCTAATTTTGAATCTTCGTATCTTTTCACCTGTCAGTTCACTGGACACCTTGCTATTTGCCACCTTTAGTATCCTTCTATCTATTGTTGTCATTGTGGTTTCAACTTTTCTTGTGATTGCAGTATGTCTCTTGGTTGTGTAAAACATTGCATTCATTCTAATTTCTAGGTATGTTGATTGCATTACCAATAGCTGTAGCTTCATGTCAGAATTTTTTGTTATCCTGATGCATATCTTAAGATGTGAGTATGGTGTTTTGGCGGACTGTTTTTGCTGCTGACATCAAACAGGGAACTTTGTAATGATTGGCCTAAACGTATGCCTCGTTCTTTCTCTTCATCTTTTCCCCCTTCTAAGATTCTTAATGATTATCGGTGGGGTTCTGGCAAACCGACTTATGAGGATTTTCTTTTTAACTCCCAACTAAACTTCATGAATGTGTTTCTCCCCGCAGCATATAGGTATACAATATCTTGCTAGATCAATCACTGCTACATTGCAGTGTAATGGGCATCCATAAGGTGTTTGAGTCCTCCAAAGAGGATCAGTTTTCCACAGCATAACAAACACGCTTGTTAAGAGTGACCCTTTTTTATGATGAATCTGTTCTCACCTGAAATTTCTCCTGCAGCTTTTACTATCTTATGGTGTTAGTGACTCCAAAGGAATCCTTTCAGAAAAGCATGTCATGCTTTCTGCAAAATGCCAAGTATGAACTCGGTTAAATTATAGAATTTCCTCAAGGTTATGTGAGAAACTTTAGATTGTTTCACCATTTGTTGATTTCGTTCTCTGATAACACTTTCTTTATGATGCAGGCATTGGCTGAACTTCTTCCTTCCCTTCAGAAAGATGGGCATCGAGTGCTAGTTTTTAGTCAATGGACTTCAATATTGGACATCTTAGAGTGGACCTTGGATGTAATTGGGTTGACATATAGAAGACTTGATGGAAGGTATGTCATCTGAGCCATTGGTATTCTGGTTAGTTGGTGCCATTTATGGAGCCATGCCCATATTACTGGACTGTTGGAATTAGATGGAGTTGTGAGAATTTCCATTCTATTTAGCATTTTCATTTCTGACAGTTGTAAGGAAGGGGAAATGAAACACTTGTTGCATGGTTATCTGAACGTATGCATTCAACTTAATTGTGATTGCTTCTCTTGGTGCTGGCAGTACGCAGGTGACAGATAGGCAGACGATTGTGGATGAATTTAATAATGATACGTCAATATCTGTGTGCTTGCTCTCCACTAGAGCTGGAGGGCAGGGTTTGAACTTGACTGGAGCCGATACAGTGATTATACACGACATGGATTTCAATCCACAGATTGATAGGCAGGCAGAGGATCGATGCCATCGCATTGGCCAGACAAAGCCTGTAACCATATACAGGTTTATTTCCCCCCTTATTGGTTCAGATTATATTCTTATGAGCATGTGAAACTCTTGGGGCATGGTTTAACATTCCCTTTCAATGGCAGGCTGGTGACAAAGGGTACAGTGGATGAGAATGTATACGAGATTGCGAAAAGGAAGCTGACTTTAGATGCTGCAGTTCTGGAGTCCGGGGTGGATGTAGAGCATCAGGGGGATTTGTCTGAGATGACTATGGGGGAGATATTGTCGTCACTTTTGAAGGCGTAGATTGCACATAGCAAAACATGCTCAACACTTCTGTTTGTGGGTGGGTATGCCCTTGGGTCGCCATTTTATAGGGTAGACAAAAGAGATTTAGCATGGGCATTCCAACCATGAAAACTAGCTCGACTCCTGGCAGAATCTCATCACAGATATTGCTGCACTATCCTTTTTCATCATGTAAGGAAGCACAATTCAAATGGGTGACTATTTTGTTGTAAACCGTTTCTGAAGGGTAAGTTAGCCACCAACTGTTCCCAGGGAGGAAAAGGAACTGAAGAACATGGAGTCTGCAGGGAATGTGCGCGATCTATTAATACTGAAAGCATAGGTTTCTCCCGATACTTGCAATACTTGTACCGTTGACTTGAAAGTCCATGTAAATCGCTTTCTTGGTTAGTTGTAATTTCTGTGCCAAGGTAAGTCGATTTTTATCTATATCAAACCCAACTATTTGTCTAGTGGCTACCCGTTTCTGGTAGCCATTTATATCGTAACGCTCTTGGAGCATTCCAAACATGAAACATCCCTGGGTAGGAAATGTTTTTCTTTTTAGTTAATTTTTTTTTGGGATAAAAGAAAAGTTTTTTCTTAAAAATATTTTCAATAAATAACATTGATTTACAAAATACATCACAAAATCGGGCAGACTTTCTAGCCGAACAGAAATGACTCAAATGAGAATGTCTTTCAAATTGGATTTGTATATACAGATTGTACTCAACGAACTTGGGAAGAAGAGTAAGGAGTTTTTGGTTTCGACGATTGCCACGACATGGATGTTTGGCTGGCGGCCACATTGCTAGCACTATTGTAGACATTACTGCTATTAGCATACCCAGGCAGTACCCTACTGTTGCCATTGTCGTAGCTGTTGTTGTTGTTGTTGTTGTTGTGATGGTGAATGCGCCTAGGCATCCCGGGAACATAATGTTGCTTGATAACAAGAAGGGAGGAATGCTCCGCGAATTCGGAGGCGAGCAACGTATCTCCGAGCACGCCTAGCTCCTCGCACTCGATCCATTCCGACAGTCCCAACATGATGGACGATGTCGTGTTTTTGCTCTGCCCTAGGATGTAGAGGTCGCAGGATGGCACGAGCCGCCCGATCGTCGTGATCACCTCCTCCCCGGTCGTCACCTGCTTCTCCACGTAGTTTATGTTTTCGTCGTGCATCGTCCTGAACCTAAACTCGTTCACGTACTCGTCATCCAGCTCCCTCTCCTCTCCCTTGTTCTGCCTCGTGGTGGCGTCGGCTCCTCCTCCTTCTTCATCTTCTTCTTCTTCTGTCGCTCCTTCCAATTTTTCGTTCAAATCGTCGTCGGTGCGATCATCGTCGACGACGGGGAGGAGTCGCAGGACGGTGAGGTTGACGTTGGGCGATTTCGCCATCCTCCATCCGAAAGCGAGCGCCTCGCGGTCATCCGGTCCTCCGACGAAAATGACCGCGAACGACGAGTACTGCGGCTGCTGGACCGCGGCCTTGTCCTTGGCGCCAAGGCCGCGGTCCACCAGTATCCCCACGGAGCACGTGGCGATCGCCATGAGGTTCCGATTCACAGTCCTCCAGTTCAAATTCTCCTCCTGCAATCTGCCATAAACGTCGGCCTGCATGTGGAAAGGGACGAGGACAAGCATCACCCGCTTGTCCTCCCCCAAGCAGCTGATGTCCTCGTGCATCGTGGTGTACGGGGACACCACGGTGAGCGAATGAGCCGACACCGACGCGCCTCGATTCTCGAGGCTCTCGAACGCCGCGATGATGTGCTTCGACTCTTCCTCCCGGCGGGTCAGGTGCTGCCCTCCCGAGCCGCCGTCGAACATGCGATGGGAAGTACTGTTGTTGTTGTTGTTGTTGTTGCTGTTGTTGTTGTCGTGGACGATGAGCATTGCGGTGGCGCGTCGCTCGGTGAGCTGGACTAAGTGGAGGGCGAAGACGCAGATCGGGTACTGCTTGCTGGCGTTGGAGGATTCGAGGAGGTTGATCATCCCGGACAGGTTGCGGGTCGAGTGGATGCACGTTAGGATCCTTAGCTCCGACTCCAGCTTGTTGCTCTCCACTGTTCTGAGCTGGAATTTGTTGGATCTCCTGCTCGACTTGTTTGCTGCTTTCGCCAAGGGCGTCACCGTTAGGGACATTACCAACATTGAGAGTATGAGCACCGCGAACATGGGTTGGTTGAACCCCTGGAAATTGATGGACATGATAATATTATCAATCAATGTACGATATGCAGGAACTGCATTACTATAGGACCGAACTGATTTCCTGACTTAGGTATAATTTCAAGTTAGATAAATGGCATGAATTTTAAAGTATATTAAAATCGATTTGGCCAAAACAGAGGGTAACCGGTTCTGCTTGTCATCATCACTTTCTGACTTTTTCCAATTGTTAGGTAAAATTCACGTCCATTACGTAAAAGTTACGGAACGATAGTTATTTTTTTTATGTAAATGTTAATTCAGAAGCGTTACTTAGGTTCGTAGTGGCTTAACACTTTACGTAACTCGATGTTAATATCGTTATGGAACAAATAGTTATTTCTTACGTTAACAATCGAATCATAAGCATTACGTAAGGTTTCCGTAATACGACTTAGCACTTTATGTAGCGTATGTTTAATATTCCTTACGTAACAGAATTCGGAAATGATATTTCACAACTATTATGCAAGATAAAAAAAAAATATCCTGTAGTAATTACGTAATGCCCCTATTGTATTTTACGTTATGCAACCTGTGATGAAATCCCTAACATAATAATGTAACCCATTACCTGTATGTTGCGGCCGGTGTTGATGACGATCAACGCCAGAACACCTTTCGTGTTCATGAGGACTCCTAGAGTGAAGGCTTCCCGAGCACCCATCCCTGCAAGTTTGGAGAAGACGAAAGTGCTGACAATCTTCGACGACCAAGCCGTGGCTATGAGAGGGAGGATGACATAGACCGGCGTTCCAAAATCCGGGTCGAGGAGGATGGGCACACTGGTTCGAACCCCGTTGACCATGAAAAACGCAGGGATCAACACCCCTTTCACGTAGTCCTCCAGCTTCTCCATCAGCTTCATGGCCACCTCCCCACTCGGGATGATCAGCCCGAACACGAACGCCCCGATCATCGAGTTCGCTCCACACGCATCCGTCACGATCGATGAGGTCATGATCCCGCTGAACACGGTGAAGTTGAGCAGCAGCGTGTTGTCGGCTTCATCGGCGTACCTGACGTAACAACAGTTATTTCTCCCGTAACAATTTCCATCAGGAAAATGTTACATAAGACTTCCGTAATGACACTTTAGAACTGTCACCCTGATCAGGTGACGCGCGTACCTGAGGACCCAGGTGACGGTAGGGCGGACGAGGAACCACTGCACGAGAACGAAGGTGAGCGTCGGGAGGAGGAACATCGGGTTCAAGGTGCCGTTGGTGAGGGTGAGCGCCACGACGAGGAGGATCCAAGAGGTGAGCTCGCTGACGATGGCGGACGACAGGGCCAGCCTGCCGATGTCGGTGTGGAGGAGCTTGATGTCGGAGAGGATCCTGGCGAGGTCGGGGAAGCTGGTGACGGTGAGGGCGACCCCCCAGAAGATGGCTCCCGTCAGCCTGACGGGAGCCAGGTTCTCCCAGTACTCCTGGGAGAAGAAGTCCGGGTAGGCCGGGTCGGCGGCCATGAGGAAGAACTGGATGAACCCGACGAGGAGGGGGAGAACCATCCCGGTCAGACCGGTGTACACCGCCCGCCGTCCGACCACTTTGATCGCCGACAGGTCGATGTCGAGCCCGACCAGGAATACGTAGTAGATGAGGCTGAGGTGGCCCAGCGTGTCCAGCACCTTGATGCTGCTGAGTGGGACGATGTAGATCGTGTACCATGGTTCGATCAGTCCCAGGCAACTATGGCCAACCAAAATCCCAGCCTGCATAATCATACACAGACACAGTTTCATTCAATGTGAAAAAAAAAAAATCGAACGAATCATCCAAGGGAGAAGAAACTTGTGTAAAAAATTAAAATGACGAAATGGAAAAGAAAAAGAAAAATAAAGATGAAGAATTACCAGCAATTCGACGGAGAAACGAGGGAGGCGCAAAGGTTTGAGGATGATGGAGAGAATGTGGATGACGAAGAGAATGAGAGCCAATTGGATGAAGAAATAAGGGACGTAATAGACGAAGGAAGGATCGTTGGGGTTTTTGGGCTTTGCGAGTTTCCAGAACACTGAATTGTTGGGGGAATTAGCTGGAACGGACTCCATGTCGCATATGTTGATGACCCCGCCGGCCATGCCTTCGATGCTAACCCCTGGAAGGCCTTTCATTATTTTGCTCCTTTGAGGATGCCCTGAGATGTTCGCCATGATCTCCACCTGAAAAAAACGTTTTGATCAAATGCACAAGAAGAGGAGGAGGACGACGACGAGCAGGCAGGGACGTCCTTTTAGCGTCCCAAGTTCTACCAAAAATCAAGAAAAAGAGGATGGAGGAGGAGGAACAGGAACAGGCAATCGATCGATCATGTATGAAAATATATGAGTTTGTAATTTTGATATTAGGGATGCCCAGGTTGGTACTAGAAATTAAAATGGATACCTAACATTAACAATAATTCTGGGTGAAAATTGTTAGTTGGAATGGATTCCTATTTAATACTTGCCTTTTTCAAAATTGTTTCAGTATGCAGTTTTTTTTATTCGGTGGGCGGGTACAAATTTGTTTATTTATTTAGAGAACATTTATATTTGGAATTTTTTTTACAAGTTGTATATATTTTAGTATTTGTTTTTTCAAGAGTGTGGTACTTAATTTACTAGGAAAGAAAAGAATCTCTCATACCTTTATATTTTATTTTTTTACAACAAGTTATATTTCATTCGTTAATGATTGTGGTACAAACTATAGCTATAATTAATTACAGCAAAACGCCATTTCGTTGTTTCTTTAGCTACCCAACATGCACTCTTGTTGCTGCTTCTTGGAACAAACAACACACCGATACGATCATTTGTCGAAAGGATATGTCGCATACAATGAATCCAAAACCATTACTTGCCACGACCTCGCTGTGCTACAACCCAACCCAGTGTTACTAAATTCTATTTCCTATAATGTTATGGGCCACATATTTGACAATTTTTATAAATCCCCACAGGGGCAGAGCTAGGATTTAGCTTTCGGGGGGCCGGAGTTCTCTTGATACTTTACCGTAAATAGCTAAAATTCTATTAAACAAAAACTCATTTTATTTTATTAAAAGCGCACAAAAAATTTATATTAAATTTGGAATAAATAAAAAAACTATATACAAGTTACTAACTCATTTCAATATTTTGTGGCGTAAACGATTTTAATAACTAAAGGCGAATGTCTACCAATATTAATATTCTATCAAATTTATTCATTATATATTCAAAAATAACCTTAAAATTGAAGAATTTAATCAATCTAATTTAAAGTTAAATAATTAACAAACGAAATATGAAAGTTCAAGCATTGATCAATTTTATAGTTAAATAAAAACTTAAATCTAGTTTAAAATTAAATAATTAACAAACCAACTATGAAACTTTAAGCATTTTATAAAAAAATTTAGTTAAATAAAAACTTAAAGGCCATATAACTAAAAATATTCATCATATTTCAAACTATCCTTGAAATTTTGAAAATAGTTTGAATGACAAATAAACTATTATGAAAATCATAGACTAAATTGACTATGTAGGAATCAAAACATAAACTATTACCAAAAAAGCTAGTGATAAAAACATACCATGCTTCCCACAAGGATCGAAACCTTGACCACTAGTTGAGAGGGCAAGGGGCGATTCCACTAGACTACAGAGTCTTTTATTGTTTTGTTTCACGTTGGTTAGTTTTATACATAACATTTAGTTTATACGTCTAATACCGAACTTTTACACGTGACTTTCAAAATTCTCGGGGGGGCCGGGGCCCCCCGAAGGCTGCTGTAGCTCCGCCCCTGAATCCCCATATGGTAAAGGTTTACATTTTAGCGCGTGAAAATTATGTATTCACTAGCTCAAAGGTAGATGAATATTTAAGGGCTAAATTGCAAGTTTGGTCACTCGAATTGCTATAAAATTTCACGTTTGGTCACTTGAATTCGTTTATTCCATTCGTAGTCACTTAAATTAGTTGAACAATCCAAGTTCGGTCACTCTCCGTTAACCTCCGTCAGACTCCGTTAGTGCCGTCAGTTAACTGATGATGTGGCTAACAGAGATGCCTAGTCACCCAATTTAACCTTAAAAAAACAGAAATTGACCCGCCACGTCAGAAAAACCTGCCACCTCATATAAACACAACCCAACCCACCCAACCTAAAAAAACCATTAACCCACCCAGAAAAATCTGCCTCCTCTGCCTCTGCCTTCCCCCATGGCTCTGTTTCCTCCATCTCCCTCCCTCATCTTCTCTCAACTTCTTCTTCATCCTCTTCATCCCTCTAGCTCAAGAAAATTAGCCCCAAATTCCACAACGGCGGGCCTTAAAATTCAACCCCAATTCCTCCACCGATTCCCTCTCCTTCTCCACCACCTTCTTCTTCGCCATGGTCCCAGAATCGCCATCGACGGGCGGCCACGACATCGCCTTCGTCATCTCCCCCACCACCGACTTCACCCACGCCGTCGCCAGCCAACACCTGATCTCTTCAATTCCACCAACATGGGCAGCGAATCCAACCACGTCGTCGCCGTCGAGCTCAACGCGATGCGCAGCCCCGAGTTTCAGGACATCGACGACAACCATGTCGGGCTCGACCTCAACACCCTGATTTCCACTCCTTCCGCCCCAGTCTTCTACGTCTCCAACGCCGACGGCGTCAACCGAACCCTCCGCCTGCTCTCCGGCGACCAGATCCAGGTATGGATCCAGTACGACGACAAGCAGAAGAGGATGAACATCATCGTCGCTCATCTCCACTCCAGTCGATCTCTCCACCTACCTCAACGAATCGATGTACGTCGGGTTCTCGTCGTCGACGAGCACCGTCACCAGCGCGTAGTACATCCTCGCCCCGTGTGACTCACGAGTCACGAGCTCGCCATTACCACAAAAAGCAAGCGTACCCATCCATATTCCAAGAAAGGCAAAGAAACCCATCACAAGGAAAAAGCAAGAATCGGAGTGGGTTTCGGATAAAAAGCTCCAAAAAGGGGGAAAGAAGAAAGGAGAAGCAATTTATTATGGGTGGAGCTTCGCCAAAGGGGAAGAAGAACCCAGCCGCTGGATCTCCGCCTTCTCCCCGTCTCTCTGCGACGAGCAAGCCGGCGAAGAAATTAGGCATCGCGTGAAAGTCGGGGTCGGGTTTGTGGGAGACGAAGCCCCAGGCAAGGAATCGATCGCGAATCTGGACTGGTGGCGGGGGCTGCAGTAGGGCGATTGAGGGGAAATCCCCCGACGGCGAAGTAGGGTATAGAGGAAGAAGAAGAAGGGTGGATGGGTCATTGGTTCGATTCGGTTCGGGTATCTTATGTGTCTGGGTTATAATAAAGTGACAGATGGATTTTTTTTTTGTTTAAATCGGGTGACTAGGCATCTCTGTTAGCCACGTCAGCAGTTAACTGACGACACTAACGGAGTCTGACGGAGGTTAACGGAGAGTGACCGAACTTGGACTGTTCAACTAATTTAAGTGACTACGAATGGAATAAACGAATTCGAGTGACTAAACATAAAATTTTGTAGCAATTCGAGTGACCAAACTTGCAATTTAGCCATATTTAAGGTTCCATATGTGCGCATAGAGTAATGAATATGTGATGGTTATTCGGTTAGCATGTGAATTTTAAATCGGCCCAATGGTGGATTTACTATTTCATATGTTCTTATCATCAATATTTAATTATTGTGTCATCAGACATCACTTACAAGTTAATATTTTGTTCAAAGATAAAATATTAATGGAGTGCAAGGTGTCTTGAGATGGAGTAAACCTTTATTTAAAATTATTATTGTAATTCTCTCGTAAGGATAATTAATCACTTATTTGAAATTCTGTGATTATGAGAGAATTGTCCAGTATTTTAATTAAATTAATTTTAGCAGTATGTTGCCAAAGTAACCTTTACTTGCGAAAAATGATTTAACTTAGATTACATGGATGTATGTGTAAGGTTATTTTATGTGGGTAGTGCTCGACCCAAAGGACGACATTATTTGACCAAAATAATCAAGAAAATTAATGGTAAATACCCGATAATTATAAAGTTGTTGTTCATGTGAATAACAGTCGGTCCAAAGATAGACTGTTGTTTGACGAAATTTATTATCAGTATTTGATCATTGTATTAAGAGTACCGCTCGTAGTTAATTTCTTTGTCCAAAGACTAAGAATTAATGTTGCATTTGGTATCTTATGATGGGTTCCCCAAAATTGGATAAAGTTCTTGTCTTGTTTAATTACATGGCTTGATGTGTGTTTTCTTTTATCTCAATATAGGTTTTCGTGCTTTGGTTTAAATATTTATGTCGAAATTAAAGTTAACTCTTCTGTTAAATGGGATGAATCTAAAGGATTCAAAGTAAATTCAAGACAATTATTCTCAATATATAGGCATTGATCTTGCGCTTTTATGTGGAACAATCCCTATTCTACTTCGAAAAATCTCAATGAGATTTAATAATAGCGAATAGAGATATATCCAGTTCAGTGTGCATGATGATCATTAAGCGCTCTATTCGATGAATAATTATGGGGCTATTATATTGAGATGCCTCTGAGGTTTATTGAAATAATAATACAGTATTTTGCCAAAACATAACAGGATCCAAGGTAAGCTGCCTATTGGGGTAATTTAATCCATAAAGTGTAAAGGCAAAATGTACAAGTGTATTATATTTTGGAGGTGTCAAAAGACATACTCAACACTTGGTTTAATTTATCTTCCTCCATGAATTTTTTGGTGAGTACTAATATTCACAAAAGGAGATGAGGGAAGATACGAGATGAGACTGAACTCAGTCACTAAACCTCAAATTCTCAGTAAAGGAACAAATAGAGAGTTAAGGATGTTATGGTTTCGTTGAACTCTTAAGGACATGGTGAAGAGTATTTCTACTCACTAGACTCCATTTGGATAAAAGCCATAAAGGTTACAACGTACATCCTTAAATTGAGTATCCAGAAGGTAGTTAATGTAACCAATAAGTGCAATAAGGACCTTGCACATTTAGGGTTGTCCAACTTAGGAAATACCTTGTAAGTCCCTTCAGTTATACAGTGGTCACACTATGAAGGAATTTTAAGTTGATCTCACTAAGGACCAAAGTAGGACCAGTTGAAAATAGGCATGTACAAGATCACATTGCATGTAATTTTCATGCCACTCATCCATATTTGATCTATGTCATTGAGTGTATTGGTATGGTGATCATGGTGGTTTAGTCATTATCATATCGTGATTAAAGCCGCGTTGGTTCCATATTTGATACATGAGGTGGACCAGATTGTTTTAGTAGATGTCTAAGTACAAATAGCATATGGTTGCGCGCCTAAAGAATTTGTGATATAAT